CTCCATGGCACCCCCAAAGATCCGATTGCTCCTGTCCCCTTTTCCTGCCCTCCCTGTCCCCACGCTTGGCCACAAAAAAGCCCCCCAGAGCAGCCCCCCAAAGCAGCCCCCAGAGCAGCCCCCAGCACCCCCACAGCTCAACCAGGACTCACTCAGACGTCTGCAAATCCCGTTTTTCCCTACAAAACAGAAGAAAAAAGGAAAAAAAAACCCGATATTTATGGTGAGAAGGGCTCTCACCCCCCCGGGCTGTCCCGGGGTCACAAGAACCGGGGAAGGGACGCCCGGGCGGGGGTTCCCGTGGCCTGGCAGGGTGAGGGGACCCCCCCAGCCCCCCGACTCACACTCCCTCCCTGCGGCAGCACATGAGGTGGCCGAGGAGCAGGCACAGCAGCGCGGCCACCGCCAGCGGCACCAGCAGCGTCACCAGGAAGGAGGGCAGCAGCTCCCGGGGGGCGACCTCGCTGGGGGGCTCGAAATCCCCCCCCTCGTCCAGCACCCCCGGCCCCCACTCCGGCCCCGGCGTGCTGGGGCTGGGCTCCACCTTCCCCTTTTCCTGCCCGCCCTGTCCCCGCGCTTGGCCACAAAAAAGCCCCCCAGAGCAGCCCCCCAAAGCAGCCCCCAGAGCAGCCCCCCAAAGCAGCTCCCAGCACCCCCACAGCTCAACCAGGACTCACTCAGACGTCTGCAAATCCCGTTTTTCCCTACAAAACAGAAGAAAAAAGGAAAAAACCCCTGATATTTATGGTGAGAAGGGCTCTCACCCCCCGGGCTGTCCCGGGGTCACAAGAACCGGGGAAGAGACACCCGGGCCGGGGTCCCCGTGGCCTGGCAGGGTGAGGGGACCCCCCCAGCCCCCCGACTCACACTCCCTCCCTGCGGCAGCACATGAGGTGGCCGAGGAGCAGGCACAGCAGCGCGGCCACCGCCAGCGGCACCAGCAGCGTCACCAGGAAGGAGGGCAGCAGCTCCCGGGGGGCGACCTCGCTGGGGGGCTCGAAATCCCCCCCCTCGTCCAGCACCCCCGGCCCCCACTCCGGCCCCGGCGTGCTGGGGCTGGGCTCCACCTGCAGCTGAAAGGGAGGGGGGTTAGGAGGGGCTGGGGGG